CCCCCCCCCCCTTCCGCCCCATCCACCCTTCCCCCTACTGCTGCAGCTACTACACTGGTACTACTATTGCGTTTACTGCTCCTGCTACAACAACAACTAGTACTACTAATTCTGCTTCTAATCCTGCTGATCTGCTGCTACTAACTACGACTACGACCACGACCATGACTGCCACGACCACTACCACTACCACTATGTTCTATGGATTTACACGACAAAGAATGAGTAGTATAGCGCGGAAGCGACGAAGTAGTCAGCAACAGCCTACTGTACTGACAAAGCTTGAAGTTGTTTGCAGGCTGTGACTGGTGCTTTCGACCGTCACCTGATGGTCTGGGATTTGAGAATGCAGTCTTGTGTCAGGCCGGGGCACATGGAAAGAGCACAGCATGCCGCTCTTGTCAACAGAGCTTGCACAAGATGGTTTGATGCTGTGTGCAACAGCAAGTTCTGCCAACCTACATGCTATACGATACTATACTGTGCTATACTGTACTGTGCTATGCTATACTAAACCATACTATACAATCCCCGGTCCAGGGCCATGCTGCAACACGGCCGTCAAGTTGTTGACCTACGTGTGGATTGGCCGACGCTCAGAGCTCAGCCGGCAAGGACTCCTGGAGCGGAGTAGAACAGCGCAGGGCTTCTCACTGGAAGCTCAGGTTTCAGGGCATGAGCTGCTCCGCAGACCGCAGCATCATTCTCTGGGACCTCGAGGCTCCGGCAAGGAGAGGTGTGTTTGTGTAAGCGCTGGTGCCTGCTCGTGGTGTTGAGGTGGCCGAGCCCTTGCAAAGGTTCGACAAGCATCCTGGCAGCGTGTGGTGCTTGCCCCACTGCCATGCTTGAAGCCTGTCTGGTGATTCTTATGCACGAAAGCAAGCAGAGCAAGGGCTGGTGTGAATGAGTCACATTCACACGTGCCAGGGATGTGGACTGGGCTGGGCGGAGAATGGTCACAGGCCCGCGAAGCTTGCAGGGTCGTTTGCAGTGGTTCGGAAGCCTTGCCGTTTTGCTTCACAACGGCCTGTTCCGAGAGTTGTCCTCGAGCCAAACGTTGCCGTGTTCCAGCTTGGCTCTGCAGCCCGTGCATAGGACTACAAGGCCAATATCGAAAGCGATTACTTGTAGTAGGCATGATGGTGGCACACCTGATGTCACGGCTGATCAACGCCAGCGACCTCGAAACGCCAGTGGCTAAACCCACTGGCACTTTGCTGAAAGACCCGCGAGTACCCAACAAGGAAGATGATACGAAGCCGGCCGAGAAGGATGTCAGACCCATGCTGCCACTGATCAGCAAGAGAGCAGAGCAAGAAGCACTGGTTGCGCAAGCACAGTGAACGAGTACAGACGGAGCGCACAGAAATGGGCATCAAGAGGAATGCTCACGGTACCGTTCCCACCCCCTGACTGAAATCACTTGCAGGGCAAGGGGAGTGCAGAGGCAGGCACCACAGGGACATTGCCTCAGCGGGAAGCAGTGATTGTATAAATCCTTACTCTAATTAGACGTTTTGCGACCGCGTGATCTCATGAATCATATTCAGAATTTGACAGGCTTTTAAATATACAGGAGGCTTTAGTCCTTTGCTGCCTAGGGGATCACGCAAGGTCCTTTCTTGCATGTCCGATGTTGAGAAGGCTGCCTCCTGTTCCAAAATACAGGTTTAAAGTCAGCACAAGCCGCGCTTACCGAAGCAGTGATCTTCTCCACTGCACCTCTGTATTCTTGATTGGTGAGCCGTGATCAAAAAGCGGCGTTTTGGACATAGAACTGTGACGGTTACCATCTGCATTCACACGCTCGCCGAATCCATGCCTATGCTTGATTACACACTAAGCCCTAAACCCCTAAACCCTAAACCCCTAAACCCTAAACCCTGGCACAGCCGCAAGCTCCTGTGACTTGTCAGGAGCGGGGCCTGGAGACAACTCGATCTTCGTGTGGGACAGACAGTAGCGCCCATGTACATAGAGTTTAGGGTTTAGGGTTTAGGGTGTTTTCCTAAACATGTGGGCTTCTCCTTCGGGGAAGTCCTTGTGATTGTGTGATCTTGTAAGGTTCCTGCTCGAGTACTACTTAGGGTTTTACACGAGCATCTTCTGTTTTGTTGAAACTTGACATTACCCATAGGCCCCTAAGTAGTTCCTTTTTGGGATTACCTTACAGGATTCTAAATCTAAACCATATAAAAGGAACTACTTAGGGGCCTCTGGGTAAAGACAGGGGGCAAAACAGCAGCACCGTGTTCCTAGCAGCGCTGCAGGACTTCCGGGATGGCTTTGTCGAGCGCCAGATTCTGGGACATGAAGGAAGTGTAGCTGCCCCAGGGCCCCAGCGTCCGAAGCGTTGCATCCGCATTCTGCCCTTTGCTTTCGTTGCATATGTGCACGCAGGCATAGGCATGCATACACATGTGTCCCAAGATGACACCCACTTTGTCTACACTCTCCCCTCTCAGGTTTGGGCGCTTGCGGTTGACTGGGAAGTTGCCCACAAGGCAATTGGCGATGCTGGAACGAACATATGCCCATTGTAATTATTGTTGATCGTTCACAATAATTAGTTATTTTTAACAAGGACCTGACATCCGCAGAAGGCCTTCAAAGGATTTGGGCCACTCCGGGCCTTGTCTCTTCTTCTCAAGTCTGCTGCCCCACGCCTCCTCCGACCCTTGCAGACACTGTTCTTGTGGATGGCACGCATACTCCGGTCCCTATCCGGTGCGAGGCTTTTGAGACGGCCCAAGGCGTAGGCCTCCAGACAGAGGCCGGCATTGAGCCTCCAGACTCGAGCCCCGGCAAGAGATTGAACTGCTTTTTTACGTACATCTAGGCATTTGAATCCGAATCGGCCCTCAGCTGTCATGGGTGCATGTCTGTGTACTACATGATGCGTGCATACATAAGCAGGCAAGCATGTAAGTAAGTGAATAAGTAGGGAAGTGAAACAAACAAGCATGTAAGGAAGTGAATAAGTAGGGAAGATTAGGGAAGTGAAACGATGAATAAGCCAGTTCATGAAAATTTATGAGTTGGTTAGTTACCTGATTGGTCATCCTCCGAACAGACTATCTAGTTTATGAACACGAGATTTACTCTGCTTGCCTTTCCGTTTCATTGCATTACATCGCATTGCACGCAACATGTGGTCAGTTTTCGACGCGGGCAATTAGACAGTGCGCAGTGCACATAGCGATGATAACAGGGATCGTTGTCCTCCTCGCGCGGAGTATCAATGGAACCAAGAGTAGCTCTGTACGTGTACCTCAAACGAACACTTGCAGCATAGGTGTATGTATGTCTGTATATACATATACATATATAGATAGATAGATAGATAGATAGATAGATAGATAAACATACATGCATATACACACATATAATATAGACATCATACACACACTCACAGCGGTTTGTGCGTTTGTGCGTGTGTTGGTCTGGACATTTGTTTCTTTAAGTCATGTGCCCCACTCGGTTGCCTTCTCTATGTCCCCGTAGACAGTCTCCTGCACACCCCATGTCTTTCATGCAAAGCAATCAATCACAGAGCGTATGCAACGCAGGTGGTCTTCATTGCTCTCAAAGCATGCCATTCTTCAGAGTGTGCTGTGTTGTTGCCCGATGTTCTGAGGAATGTGCCAAGCAAGGAAGAGATGCAGAGTGGAGGGGAGTCGCCCGACGGCAAGTCACACAAGGGAAAGAGAAGGAAGAAGTGGGTCAAGCGCCGGGTGAAGACCACCGAGTGACTCTTGATATCTGGTATAAATGACAGTGTAAATGCTTTTTTCGTCGATACTGAGCAAACCTGGTTGGTGGTATTGTCACCGAGGCTGCATGTGTGCAAGCAAGTCTCACAACCCTGCTGGTCGAGGAATACTCTCAGCAACCCCCGACAGAGCATCCACGGCTTTACTTGAGTCGGTTGGGTTGCAGCAGCTTCTAGAGATTGTTGGTTGTTTCAACATGTGCATCAGCAAGCCGAGATGCTCCCGCACAGATTCAGGAAAGGCTTGATCAGTGGCAGCAGCAAAGACTTATTGAGTCTGGAAGATCAGCACATTTGTCTTCTTGATCTGACTTAACAGGGCTTGCAAAGCTAATCAGGCAGCCTGAGTCATTGTACATATGCGCGCCGGCGCAAGGCCCTGAGCTTGGCAAAAGAGCAGAATTGTCACGTCTGGTGGCATGAGGGATGGTATCGACTAGGTTCCCTCCAGCATGAAACTCGCGGCGCTGAATAACTCGAAAGGGCATGCTGGAACAACTGGAACACTTCGGTGGCAGAAGGAAGGGAGCGACATGTTGGGGCTTTAGGGGTTTAGCGCTTAGGGGCGGCATCCGAACCTGAGAGCCTTGGCCCCTTGCCCTCGGCGCAGACGGAAGCTGCGGCCGTTGACGCGGGTGGCGAGTCTCTCTGCAGCGGCTGCTCCAAGGACGAGGTGGGAATGCAACGCTGCATCCTTCTTTGCCCGTCGCATGCCAAAGCAAGGAAAGACACACTTTGATGAGCCGGCAGATGGAGGACGGTTTAGGCCAACAGGTGTACCAGAATTTCCAGGGCTCCAGAAGCCGTGCGATCGCACAGGACCAACAGCGACTGCAAGCTGAGTTTGAGTCGTCTCTGCTGGTGCGACAGGAGAAGGCTCTCGAAATGGGAGCAGTGTGGACTTGATGTCATGTTCGCTGCATTGCCAGTTTGGGGAAGACGTGCAGCAGCTGGGCGAGAACCTGCACACGCTCCACAGCTTAGAGGAGCACCGGGTGATGTAGCCCCTTTTGGCTTTCGACGCCTCATTCGGATCTTGCTCTCCAGGCTGCCTCCCTGGACCAGCTGCGCGGAGGGCTCGCGGAGGTGCACGCCGCACTGAACCGCGAGGCACCTCCTGGCCCCGGCCAGCTCCTGGGGTCTAGAGCTGCCGGTCTTGTTGCTGACATTTTGCGCACCTCATAGGGCCACCGTTGTGTCAACTGTCAAGACATGTCAAGACGTCGAACGCAACCGTCCTCTGTCAGATGGCTTCGCTCTCACGCGTGGAAGATCAGCTCGGGGAGCTTCGCGAGGAGGCAACGCACCTCGGTTTCTTGCGATTCTAGAGACGTTCAAAGCAGTTTTTGTTGGTAGCCACGTGTTTTCAATGATTAAAGCCTTCAGACATTACAGAGACCGGCGAATTGCGCACGTCATTCTGTTGGATAGATCATGCTATGGCATGAATGTGCCGGCATGAACAAGTCAGAACAGTACAAGTCTGTGTGGAATCGCAGCCGAAACTAAGCCGCTCCGGCGAACAGGGGAGAGACGGAAGCGTTCGCACAACAGCATCGCTCGGACCCCCTCATGTTAATCCGGCTAGGTCTTGCTAGTTCTTGTGAGTGTTGTGACCAACTCCGGCGAAGTACCTCGGTCGAGGTGACGCAGCCCAGCCCGGCCGCTGTGCAACAGCACCAGCAAGACCATCACGCCGCCATGCTGGCGTCCAGGCAAGTCTCTGAGCTGCTACACCAGGCCGGGATGAAAGTGACACGGGCGAGAGTGGGCAAGCTGAACAGAAACGAGCCTTTTTTGTGTCCGCAGGAGCGGGCGCGGGCAGCCGCTGCCCGTCTCCGGAACCTCGTAGCACCGCCGTTCAAGGACCTATAGGGCAAAACCGCTTTGGGAAGCCAGTGTTTAGTTGGCAACGGCAGCAGCAACATGTGATTGCGCGAGGCTGATCGATAAGAGGAACACTGACCACTGCCTATGCTCAGTTCGGGCATCTCAGTCCGAAGCCCGAGCAACACTCTGGCTAGCAGCTAGAGGCCACAGGCATTCAGTCAGCAGTCATCTCACACGTCGTGTCATTCCCAACGGGCTTTAGGCTTCCACGCAGACTTTCTCGTGGACGCAACATCTGCTGGCAGGACATTGGCTCTTTGCACGTCACGCGCCCGGCGAATCTGCATTTCGCTTAACATATCGGGGCACAACCATAGATACAGGCAGCATGAAGTGCGTAGCAGGTGGAAGACAGGACGGGCATCTGCTTCATTCAAAAGCAGGGACTAGGACACACCTTGCATCGGCGAAGGTTACATGTCAAACGCTGGTATGTGCCTGTTGGCCCGTTTCGAGGTGGCCTTTGTCCTTTGGAAGATGCAGTCCCGGCATCGCGTGGCCTGGGGACCAAGATCAAGGGTCCGATGTGCTTGCAAAGGTGGCCATGCCCTGTGAGTATCCTCCTCGGACTACATACTGCAGTTCTGGGATGTCTAAACATGCGAGCCTGGTTTCGTGCACTGCTTTGTTTCGCCCCCCTTTTCTCCTTCCCCTGCTGCTCCCGCTCCTCGGGCTTCTACGGGAGCTCGTGCTGTTGCTATTGCAGGCTCCGGCTCGAAGGTACTTCGTTGATGACGGACACTACTGTAAGCTGGAATGCCGCGCGATTGCAGCCGCGAGGCCCGAGTCGGTGCGGATCCCGCAATGAAAAATCGGAACACGCAGAGCTGGAACGAAAGCTGAAGTTCAGCGATGTGGCAAACGGCCAACCCCCGTAACTAGTGATTTCGGAATCATGCAACGAGGCAGTCGAGGGGATTCGTTCCCCCATGGGTTTGTACTAACATTATTGCCATTACTGTCTGCTCGTCCTGCGCGCATCATTCAAAAAAGGCCCACTGCATCGTGCAGCATCCGAACATCTCTCGTCCTTTGCCGCAGCTGGCTGTAGTCCCTCATATCGTTCGTCATCATGCCAAGCTTGTGCGTGTCGGCACTGTCTGTTTGCCGGGTTGCGCTCAGCTTGGCCGAGGCTTTCGAAAACTTGCTTGCTTACCGGGAGAAGATGGTCGACAGAGCTGACCTGCAGGCACGCGGCTTTCAGTAGCACAGTACCCTAGCCGCCCTTGCCTCCGGCTTCAGGCCATAGTGACTGCTTGGCGCAGTGCCTCAAGGCCATCGACAGAAAGGCCGGCCGGTGATCCACGGCTGTCTTTTCAGAGCAGAATGGTCAGTGTAGCGCTCACCATGGTTGGTCGGGGTTGGGGTGTCAGCGACCGCGAGGCGTGAGAAAGGGCTGGTGGGGGTGAGGAGGGCCAGAGGGCGGAGATTGGAGAAGTACGCACGATAAAGGTGGTCAAACAAGCTTTGTTGTTGCTCAGGGTTTACATCAGGGTCCCTCGTTTGTTTGCCCGTAGTCGAGTCATAGGGGATGGTAAGTGGATCGGAACGCCAGGCTGCTGGACTCGGAGCTACAGGCGGGCGTTCTGCTCGAATATCTTTGGGGGTTCGTCGGGCGGGGAATTCTGATTTGATACATTGCTGACAATTGGAACGGTGTGAGGCTGCCAATCACGCTTTCGCAGTAAGGTTTACCAGCAGTCCAAGACTGGAATATAACTTGCCAGTTCTACTGCTGCTGCTGCTGCTACTACTACTGCTGCTACTACTACGACGACCACGAGTACTACGACAACTACGACTACTACGACGACGACGAC